CCGGGAACTACAAGCCATTCAGTCTCACCTTAATTCCTGGAAAATCATGGAGCAGGTCCTCAAGGAATCAATTCTGAAGCACTTAGAGGAGAGAAAAGTGATCAGGAACAGCAAGTTAAAGAAGCATGGGCTGGATGAATGGACTGTAAGGTGGATAGAAAGCTGGCTAGATCATCGGGCTCAACTGGTAGTGATCAATGGCTCCATGTCTAGTTGGCAGCTGGTTTCAAGCGGAGTGCCCCAAGGGTCGGTCCTGGGGCCGGTTTTGTTCAATATCTTCATTAATGATCTGGAGGATGGCCTGGACTGCACTCTCAGCTAGTTTTCAGATGACACTAAAATGGGAGGAGTGGTAGATACGCTGGAGGGTAGGGATAGGATACAGAGGGACCTAGACATATCAGAGGATTGGGCCTAAAGAAACCTAATGAGGTTCAACAAGGACAAGTGCAGAGTGCTGCACTTAGGATCGAAGAATCCCATTCACTGTTACAGAATAGAAACCAAATGGCTAGGCAACAGTTCTGCATAAAAGGACCTAGGGGTGACAGTGGACGAGAAGCTGGATATGAGTCGACAGTGTGCCCTTGTTGCCAAGAAGGCTAACGGCATTTTGGGCTGTATAAGTAGGGGCATTGCCAGCAGATCGAGGGACGTAATCGTTCCCCTCTATTCAACATTGGTGAGGCCTCATCTCGAGTACTGTGTCCCGTTTTGGGCCCCACACTACAAGAAGGATGTGCAAAAATTGGAGGGAGTCCAGCGGAGGGCAACAAAAATGATTAGGGGGCTGGAGCACATGACTTATGAGGAGAGACTGAGGTAACAGGGATTGTTTAGTCTCCAGAAGAGAAGAGTGAGGGGGGATTTGATAGCTGCTTTCAACTACCTGAAAGGGGGTTCCAAAGAAGATGGATCTAGACTGTTTTCAGTGGTACCAGTAGACCGAATAAGGAGTAATGGTCTCAAGTTGCAGTGGGGGAGGTTTAGGCTGGATATTAGGAAAAACTTTTTCACTAGGAGGGTGGTGAAGCACTGAAATGGCTTACCTAGGGAGGTCGTGGAATCTCCTTCCTAAGAGGTTTTAAGGTCAGGCTTGACAAAGCCCTGGCTGGGATGATTTAGTTGGGGATAGGTCCTGCTTTCAGCAGGGGGTTGGACTAGATGACTTCCTGAGGTCCCTTCCAACCCTGATCTTCTATGATTCTATAATTATATGAATCAAACAAAGGGCTGTACGGAGATGACGCACTGGTACATTGTATGTGAGAACGTTCAAGGGATGGTTTAGCAGGGACCCAGTCACCGGTGCTCGGTTGTCTAGAGCCTTCTGGATCAAGCCTGCACAGAGACATATTGCATTTGTTGTTTGTTGTTTTTAAAAGCGTATGCGGAAGGGGTCTCTTGACACATGGTGTAAAAGGTTTTAAAGCATGTTATGAAAAAGTACAAAAATGCCTTACACGTATTCCTTCCTGTAAATTTTTGAGCAGCTGGGCGATGGTTCTTCAGAGGACTTGGCAGTTCTGGACACTGACAGCTCCAAAGGGCCGAATGGATTGGGCCCTATCTGTTTTCGCCAGACCCAAAACCAGATGCCCAGCAGAATGTCAAAACAGAGGCGGATGCTTATTCTATAGGCCTGTACTATCTAAAGTTGAGGGAGAAATTCGGTATTAAGCCTGTGCGAGTTAATAAGCATAAAACCGTGATGCATGCAATTGTCTGAGCGGCTGTGCACGGAATCATCAAGCACTGCCTGAGAGAGAAACAAAATGAGGATTGTCCTGGGTGCACCATAGATGCCCCCAGTCAGAGGCATCACGACTGCGTGTACTAGTCTTTAGATGTAAACTATAAAATTAAAGACATTAGCAGTAGTTTGTGTCTCAGAATGTGTTAAATATCATCATCACATTGGGATACGCACTGTAGTGTCTCTGTTTAACCCAGGAACATTTAGCTCTAGGGGCAGAGTTGGTGGAGAAAGTGACAGAGGCCAAGAACCCAAATAGCATTTTAGATGAAATCATCAAACCGACAGATAAAGGGGGAAAAGTCAATGGGTGGGGTGTTCTTCAGATAGGCTATCTCTGAGCTTCATGCAGTCACAAAGTGATGGGTTTTGTCTTTTATAATCAGTAAATGGAATAAAATACTCGTTATAACTTTCACAGTGTGTCTTTCAATGCAATCTCACCATTTCTTAAATCTTTAACAGTGTTTAAAAAGTTAGGAAAGAAGTCTGTGTAAAAACCAAGCAAACTGAACGGGTGACCCGTAGAGCATTGCTAAGGCAGACTATAGTGCATGGAGCACTGACTAGCCTTATTAGTCTTATCTGTTTTTAAAATGTAGAGAAAGCCACAGCTCCAGCCTGCGATGTATTATTTTAATAAAATCCATGGACCCAAAACAAACATAGGAGCTTGTACCTGTGTCTCAGCACAGGGGTTGCAAACATTTAAAAACAAAGACATTCTGATAATGCGACAGAAAAATTAAATCTAAAAGTCCTAAGAAAATGAAAGATTAATATAACTTTCACATGGATTTGTTAAAAAGTGGGGAAGAAAATAAACTTTTCTCTGATCCACTGGATTCCAGAATAAGGAGAATATAAACTGTGCTTTTAAACCTGGGGTGTTTCTGCAGGCTCTAGTTTATGAAACACACATATAAAAATAAGAACTGGAGTACTTGTGGCACCTTAGAGACTAACAAATTTATTAGAGCATAAGCTTTCGTGGAC